TACTTTTTTGTCACTTTCATGTGACTTCACCACTTTTTTAGGGGAAGTCAAAATTGCATTAAATCTTACGTGGCAACTTTCTTACATCTCACTTTCATAACCACTTACATGTAAACAAACACCTTAATTGTTAAATAAAAGTAACTTTCTCACTTTCATCTTTCACTTGCATGCAAACAAACACCCCCTTACTGAATCTGCCCTAACTAATTGTTTTTGTTCCTTTCCTTGGCAGTTGATGTGAATTGGATTGTGAGCAAGGATTGTTTGAGGACATAAATGGTTAGGCTTGCGTTTTCTTGTCGGCTTTTAATATTAGTCCTTTTTTTTCTAAAAATTTATATTTTAAAAAAAAATCTTTTTCAAATTGACCTATTTTGATAAATAAAAAAATGTGTAGCAATGACTATATGCTTGATATATCATTGGGATGAAGTCATCATCAGATTAGTGTGTGCAGGCCTTGTTGCACTCCGATTTAGGTCGTGGGGCATGGCATAATTTCATTAAATTTAAAATCTACTTTACTAAATAGTAAACCATGTATAATATAATAGTAAGCTCAACATGACTCTAATATATTAAAAAAATACATCCTAATGGAGTTCACAGAAAATAATTATTCATATCATAAACATTATAAATAAAAAGCGTACAAAATAAGTTATATATTGTCATTTCTTTAAACAAAATATTTTAATTCTCCTCCAAGACACAATAAAGTAATCTTGTTAAGTACCAATAAATAAATCAAGGGATAATAATAAATATGGTAATCATTATAAAATCATTTTTATGAAATTTTGTGTTGTTATTGTTGATGCTGAGAAATAACTTACATGATTGAGTCCGTAGGATTAAGCTCAATGATGAGGTCCCAGTGATCTCCTTTAATATTTGACGATGAGCTCTTGCTGATGATAGCCTGAGATACACGAAAAAGGCATCATATTGACAATGGTAAGCTCTCCACAAACATCCCTTCGATACCTAAGTCATACTCTTGATAATGAATAGTATGCAAATATAGGCCAGAGTTTTAGAAGAAAAATATTGTAGATTGAAGGTCGGCAACACCGAGCCTTGCAAAGATCTAAGGTCTTGTCTTACCTTAGGTAGATGGGGTATTTTTACTATTGCTTAAAGGAAATTAGCCTCTACGCATGTCACTAACCTGACAGCTGTGGTTGTTATGGTGTTACTTAGCCTACAAGTATACCCATGTAGTAGTACCTAATTGGCGTATATAGCCAACATATGTGTAGATTCTGTAAGTTATGGAACTTGGCAACTAGAGAGATTGAGTATCCAATTAATATCTCCTCACATGTTGTGTTGCGGATATGATGTGATCAGTATCAATTATCTCCAATTAGGCACCCTATCATAAAACCAGGTCAGGTTTGGGATGTAGGCATAGTAATTGAATTGATGAGTTAGGAAGTTATGGACCTTTACCACTCTATCCAGGCTTTTATGTCGAGACCATGGGTCGTGACCTAGTTGTATGTTGAGTGTAGATATCCCATGCTTCAGCGAGCTAAAGTGTATACCTAGTTGACTGAGTCAGCATGTTGTCATGATGTAGTCTACTTATCCCAAATGTAAAATGTTGGTTGTATGCATTATAGAGATCCCTACTCTCTAGCTGAGATGAACTCCTAGACGGGAGTAGACAAGATATGTACTGGGTATATGTCAGCCATGCCTCGTTTAATGGCATCAACTAGTGGTTTGTCAGGTGTTGATATATTTAACAAACCTGCTAATGGATGTATACAAGGTTTACTTCAATAAAGAGAGGCGTTGACTGACGGATAATGTCGAAAGATTTATTAGATGTTTTGAATACGATCATGACATCCTCACTTTCATATATTTAATTTAATTTTCGAGAGGGACTTAACATCATTGGTGTGATTTTAGTTAAATAGGGGCCGCCGAGAGGGACTTAACATCGATCATTGGTGATTTTAGTTATTCAGATCTGATTTGGGGGGTGGGGGGCTGATTTTTTGAGGAGCTAAGAATGAAAGGAGAAAGGAGAAAGGGGTGGTGGATTAGGTTTTGGGTTATTTTGATACGGAGGGCTGAGATGAAAGTAATGAAGGGCTGAGATTTTACATCCTTAGATGCACTCTAGAGGGGTTATTCATTGGTGTAAATTGGGGCAAATTGGATTAAATGGTTCCAACGGGATAATTTTACCCAATGAGACAATTTGAGTAGGATAAAGTAAGTGGGGGTAAAATGGGATAATGAGACAAATTTGAGTGGGACAATTAGTATGACATCTTTTTTATAATATGATATTATAGATCAATTAAGTTCAAGTTTAACTTGATATAACATCAAATGATTAAATAAATAATAGTTATAATATACAACAATATTATTTTAATATTATTTTAATATAAAATATTAAAAACAATATAATTATATTAATAATATTAATATTAATCAATCTTTGAATATTTTGATGTTTATTTTAGCTATTATGTTATATTAACAAAATTTTCAATTGCAATAACTATTTAATCATTCCTACATCTATTACAACGATGATGGTAAAGTCTCAATTATTACAAATAAAGTCTTTAGCCGGTAACTTAAATCTTAATTATTACAAATATAATCTACCGACTGTGCTTAACATACATATATATGTACAAAAATGATATTTAAAACCATGTAGTCATCAAAGCATTCATGTGTTTAACATAAAAGTCCAAAAGCATATAACTAACAACATCTATGTTCCCAAAAATACAACTCCAAAAGAGTAGTCATCAAACTACGGTCCACAAGCGTAGTCATTAAATAGTCATTAATAAGCATAGTGATTGTCGTCATTTGGAAATACTCCAGTCGGTCGCCAAATCATAAACCTTCTCCTTTGATCATCATTCATCTTCACAAACATATCCTTCATGTCTTGGGAAATATCAATAATGACCAAAATTCATTTGCTTAAAGACTAAAGCTTTATGTAGTATGTACATGTAAGAGTTCAAATATAGCAAAAACATTGGTGTTTGAATGCTCAAGTCTACTATGTCAGCACTTATAATTTATGTTCAATGATAACAAACAACTTTAGCATATAACAGAGGGATCACTTATAACAAGAATTCACAGAGGGATCACTTATAACAAATAACTTTAGCACTTATAATTTCCACTTTCACTCAAAAAACCTTTTACCTTAAATTCGTCCAAATTTAAAGAAAATCGTATGAGTAATACCATGATGGTCACAAAAATCGCTGAATCCTCAGTGGATGCACATATTTTTTATATATAGAGATAGACCAAGAATTCACATTTCACATCCATAAACTTAATATTTTTCTCAATTTGTAAGTAAATGGAAGGGACAAAGTAAATCAACTCCCTATTATTAACTTAAACAAGGCCAATTATAAACCCAATATTCAAATCTAGATGCACGTCCTCATCTTTTTGTCACGCTTCACTTCATTTATGCCGATTGTTGGGGGGGAAGGGCACGTACCTGGGTTCGAGAGACGGTTGAGGCGGCGGAGGAGGCGGAGGAGATGGCGTTGGGAAAATCCCGGCTAGGGCTATCGCGCTCGAGAACAGCGACGGAGGTGGGCCTAGCTAGGGCTAGCGAGCTCGAGAACGACGACGTTGAGGGTGACGATGTTAGCGTCAGATCTCTTTGAGGGGGCGACGAAGGAGCGAGCGATCGAGCTCGAGAACGGCGACGGAGGAGCGGGCAATTGGAAGTGGGTAATTTTGTTCCCCTCTTGTTCCAGGAAGCGATATAGTTGGTGTAATTTTAGGGAAAGTGGGGTATTTGTCCCACAATTATCCCAACAAACCAATAACACCATGAAGTCGAATCCAGCACTAATTACCCTAATGAATAACACCAAAAAATATTGTTCCAAAAATTATCTCATTATCCCCAAATTTACACCAATAAATAACCCCCTAAGGAGCCTCCTTAAGTACTTATTACCCCTACCCTCCCCCCCCACACACACACGCACACATGCTCCTCCCCTTTTCATCCTACTTTGTAAACCCTAGCAAGCCTTCCATTTCATCGATACAAGTCCATCTTCTTCTCCCCCTAAAAGCATTTGTTGTCCTCTGATCATTCTTCTTGACTATTCTGATGGCTCCCTGAGCCCAGCTCATCATTGCTTGCAATGAGGTTAAAATTGATATGTTGTAAAAGTATAGATTAAAAGTGCTCACAGGCTACTTGGAGAAGTATGCCCAACACTATGGATGTACTGTCAGCTTCATCAAGGGAGCAATATATCTATCATCAAAGCAGCAATTTAGGACCGATATACTGGCACCACCTCGACTATGGCATTTATCTGTCTCTCCAACTACTGTCTAAGAGTGGAGAAGCTCTTGGCAGTTAAGGCGCGAGGGTTGGTAGAGGATCCATGTCTACAAAGGATCTCGTTGCTAGGAGAACCTGTTTGACAATGCTATCCTTCAAGCTGTCAGCATATCCCCTATCCTCACCGCTGAGGCAGATCAAGCCTGAACTATAGTTCTAGTGGTCGAAAAGAAGCCCACATACCGGTTGCTTTGGGTCTTCCAACTACTGCACTGGAGGATCGATATGAGTGGTCCTTCCCCCATTGCATCGACAAGCTTTCCCCTCACACTTGGAAGGCGATCCAAGCGTTGTTGATGGGGCCTATTAAATCCCCTCCTCGCTATGAGAGGGAGCTGTTGGTGGAGCATCTCATTATTTCTGAGCACCACATAGATTGTAGGGGGTCAGTATTGGAGTTTAGAGCTGATCAAGCAAAAGCTAAGAAGCGGATCATTCTTTCAGATGATGAGGCATTGTTGAGCAGTAGTGTTTTTAATACGCGAGGTGCAATGCATGGCGCAAAGTCATCTTCTTCATCTCTCATCGCATCTCCTACGGCACCATATGTAAGGTTGTAGTAGCCCTTCACCAAGTCATTCTCTGCATTTTCACCTACACCGAACTACCCTAACAACTACTCATTGCTTTCATCTCTATCAGCCAACTTAATCGGGTCAATAGAATCTCTACAGTCAAATCTCTCCTTCAATGCTTGGTTGTACTTGTAGTAAAGATCATGCAACCTCTTATGATCCAATATATTCCTCCTCTTGGTGTGTATCTGTAATTTATACAAATTAATCAAATCAATATCTATATCTCTAAGGGAATTAAATCTATTTTGTTGAATAAAATAAAATTAATCATACTTGCTAAAAAGTACTCTAATTTCTTTCGTAGCCAAAGGAGCTACAAGTAAGGCTGAGGACTCTAACAACAAGCTTCTGCAACTCTGGTGCTGATGCACCATAAGACTCACACCAATCAACTGTCAATTTAAATAGAGTGTGATTAGTAGTGTATTTCCTATAAAAAAATCTAGTCAATTGAGGGTTTATATTATGCATATTTACTTAGAGACTTCTTCTTTCTGTTTCTCTTAGCTATCTCCATACCAAAAAGACCCCCAGCATGCCTGTATATATCCAACTGCCTATCAACCTTGTCTTGGTCTTGTGTGGGCACCATCTTCTCAATGACTTGATAAAGACATTTCATAACTTCGTCATCTCCTTGGATGTTTGGATGATCATAGAAAAATGCAGGATTAAGGTAATATCCTACATTATGCAAAGGCCGATGAAGCTGATCTTGCCACCTCTTATCAATGATATCAAATACCTCAGAATATTTTGTTGAATCATCAACAAAGGCTTTAGCATTAGCCTCCTTAGCTCTATCCATCGCCTCATAAATGTATCCCATAGCAGGCTTTTTGTCACCATCAACAAGTTTCAGAACACCAACAAGAGGAGCCGTCAGCTTGAGAATACGAACAATGTTGTTCCAGAAAGATGGCATATGAACTATCCTTTCAGCTGATTTGCCCTTTGAATCTCTTGCCCACTTACTTTGCCTCCATGTCTCCAAATTAAACATCTTTCTGAGGTTATTTTTCTGTCGATGGATGCTTGACAAAGTCATAAATGATGTGGCAAATCGTGTCACCGCCGGTCTAAGAAGCTCTCTGCCGTTAGTTTGACCTCTCATCAGCTTCAAAACCCACGCATGTGAGTAGATGAATCCAGTCAACTCCATAGCTCGACTCAAGGTTAGCTTCACAGATGGTAGTTTACCAATATCCTTGAGCATGAGATTAATACAATGAGCAGCACAAGGAGTCCAATATAAATGAGGATACTCTTTTTCCAATTCCGCTCCTATAAATAAAAGAATAAAAAAAGATCAATATCAGAGCATCCTAACATAGCATTAGCAAAGGATTCATAACCAAAATAAAATTTACCTGCATATTTGAGACTAGAATGGTTATCCGTGACGATCTGAACAACATTCTGAGGTCCTATGAGCTTAATCTGCTCACTAAGTATCTCAAACATTCTGTCACCCGTCTTGATCTCATCAGACGCATCAATAGATGAAAGAAACACCGTACCACGAGGAGAGTTCACAAGAAAATTGATCAGAATGTAAGAAATACATTCATCGGCCCCTTCCTCTTTGGGCTTGTGGAAGATCCCACACTGTGCAAGCCGACACTCCCTCTTCCTCTTGCCGTTACTAAAGATGACTTAGGAACCGCCGGGCCTCTTCCTCTATCTCTAGATTCTTGTACTTGTACTTGTTCATCTTCAAGCTCCTCATCATCGATCTCCACCATGTTCTCATCTCCAAGATCGGGGAGATAATCATCTATAGCACGTTATCTTTTAGCTATCTTTTGTTTTCTTCATAACCTTTTAGGTATTCAACCACATCGTAAGGGACTTTTTGACAAAGCCTCACATTTTTGTGTTTCCTATCCGTCCCGATTAGATGCTATTTTTGTTGAGATATGCCGCCATTTGTGAAATTGTTACAAAATATGCACTTGTGCCTATTGGCATTCCCATTATCAACTAATGAAGTATATTTCCATGTATGATCTTGCCTTCTACTACCACCCGCTGATGAAGACAAATCTACACCAAAACACATATATGCATTATGCAACAAAATTCATATATTAATTATAATATAGTTGTAAACCGCCAAAAATTTGAATATTTTGTGATAAATAGTAATAAATATGTTTATATATTTATATAACATTTATTCATGAGTTTGAGTATGCTAGGAATTGGTTTTTGAGATCAATTTCAATGTATCTATGTATATATATATAAAGAGCAAATGCACAATTTCATGCTTGATGTATAAATCCTGAAATTTATGCCAGCCGGAGATGATTTTATATTTTTTCTCACATATGTAGGTTTGGAATTTGGAAAACTTTAAAGACAAAAGTTATAGGTATCTTCAAGGACATTTCCAAAAGTCTTAGATCACCTAATCCGAGCCTCACACTATAAAGTTATGGCTAAAATACGAAGATTCTTTTCCTAGTCAGATTAGGATTCCTTGTTGTTCGGGTCAAACGTATTTATTTTGGGTTTGCATTATATACTGTTTTTTACGAAATTAACATCCTTACATTAGGTTTCAAACTTAGCAGCCCTCATTCTTCTCTCTCTCGGCTGATCCCTAGCCTCAAAGTTGAGAAATTTTGAGAGCTTAGTGAAGTAATACTCGACGAGCGAGGGCATCATCAACGTGTAGCAAGGGTGAAACGGACTGTGTGACTTCTTTTTGGTTGCTGGTTATTCAGGTTAGACGATATCTAGGTAGGATTATCTTCATCCAAACCTTCCCCATAGTTTAATAACTACGTTAGAATTTAATTGCTGTTTTTCATAGCCTTGATCTTAACATGATGCTGATAAATTTAAATTTTTAATTTAAAACATAAACAATGTAGCATTAGTTATTTTTTTCTTGCTGTTTATGATAGTATATGATCATGATTATTAGGGTTTTCATAATTTTATTTATACTACTGGAAATTAAGCAAAGATGATGAAATAAATATTTTCTGTAGAAACTACAGAATTGCTATCATGTTAATATAGATTTTGAAAAAAGAATAAACTCCAATTTAACAGAATAGTGCCATGAGAAAATGTTATTATCTACTAGTTTCTAAAAGAGACTAATCTTAAATAATTTGTATAGAAGAGATATGATCTTTTACTCACAACATGTCCTGTAGAAAGACGGCCTGCACATAATAATTTTCCATTAGAGTTTGGGTAAAAATGAACTCCAACTAAACCAAACTTATGTCATTTGAAAGATGTATGAATCTAGTTTTCAAAACAGAAAACTATTTGTAAAAATAATTTTCCTAGAGAAAGATATGATTGTTTTACTAACAGATGTCACGTCTATTTTTCCTGCTCGTTTTGTCGAGCTGTGTTGCGCCGTTTTGAGGTGCGTTCGCGGAGTTTTGAGCCGCGTGATATTATACGTATAGTCATGAATATGTTATATTATACATTTAAGAATCCCAAGGGGATTATGATAAATTTTAATTTGATCATATTTGAATTAGATATAGTTCATATACTTGTTGGATGTCGTTGATGAGCACAGCTTAGTACTATATAGGATAGTGCGTCGACACACCAGATATGCACAGTTTATACATAAGGTAACTATCATTGATGAGCATAGCTGAGTATTATATGGGATAGTGCATCGACATGCCAAAGGTACAAAGATTTATATGAGGTGAATATCGTTGATGAGCTCAGTTTAGTACTACATGAGGTAGTGCGTCGATATTCTATATGTACAGGCCATTGAGTCGGATTTTAGGAGGCTTGATCTAGTCGTCCGTCCCGCACTAGGGTACGATGAGGCTCGTGAGCCGTATTTGTAGGATGCCTATTTGGTAGTCCGTCCCACACTCATGTTATGCACTGAGATCGCGATGAGACTAATAAGCCGTGTACACAGTTCAGGATACCTATAGGGTAGTCCGTCGCACTGAGATAATTGCTTGATAGCCTAAGTATGACAGATGCCGATTATAAATACGACCTACCAGTGAACTATATAACTGAGATATGTTACTTCTGAAAGTATACAAAATTATGTGTTGGTATTTTATTCTATCTCTTCAGTGATTGTGGAAGATATTATAAATACGATGTGTTGATATCTTGTTTCTTTTACTGTCTTTTTTTTAGTTGGGATCAATGATTAGAGATTCACAATTTGAGACTTATGGTATATACATGAGGGTTTCCTTATTTTGATTATTTCGCTCGATGTACCAGTCTCGTGTTATGGATCTAATTATTGCTTTCATTAGATTGTTTATTCTTATTTCGGTATTAATGTTTAGATGTTTACGATTCAGGATATATGGTATATACATGAGGGTTTCCTTGTTTGGATTATTTCGCTCGACGTACTACGTCTCGTTTTGTAGGTGTCTGAATATTAATTCCGCTAGATACGGGGAAAATAATATAGGTAGACTATGCTTAATAGATAGAGCCTCCACTCCATCCTAGCAGCACTTCCCCTGGGGGCGGATGGGGGTAATCTTACTGTAGCACTCTGACGCTCTTGTTGTTATTTCTTTTGCTTTTAAAAACACCCTTTCAGGTAGCTCGGAGTTTCGGAGAGCCGCAGGATGACGGAGTTCTTGCATAGTCGCCGTCCCGAGGGATTTATTAGAGGTTCCTCTGTAGTTTTAAATTTTATTCAGACTTAGAGTTTAGTTTCATTTTGTAAAGGCAATGTGCCTTAGTTTGACTTTCCGTTGAGACATCGTATGTTATTGCAGACTCCAAATATATTTCAGTTTATTTTCAGTTGAGACATGACCTTATTTATGAGATATCATCCTCTTTATCATGTCTATTATTGTCGTTCCCTACGCTTTTATTTGACCCCACTAGAGGATATTACTGTGATTGGTGAAACTTGTTGTTGCACAGTGTGAGTGTATGGCAGGTTTGATATCTCTGGGTTCACCTTGGACTGCAGCCATGAGTAAAAACAGGGGCGTCACAGTTGGTATCAGAGCTCTAGTTCCAACTGTAACGCCCCTGGGTTCACACAAGGCTACAGTCCAAGGTAAAACCAAGAATGTTAAACCTGTCATGCACCACACCGTGTAATTACATGTTTCACCATCACAATTAACATCTCTCTAGTAGAGTCAACAACAGGTGTAGGTACAAAAGCAAGTAAAAGATAATACAAGTGATAACTGATGAAATGATAACAACTACATAGATATCTCATCATCCAACATACAGAAATACATAGTCAATGACTGAAGTAGATAAACTAGAGTTCTCAACAAGCCTCAAATACAAAATATCTGAGTAAAGGAAATAAGGCATACAACCTTTACAACATCTAGAAAATAGTCCTCAAATGTCAAACAAAACTACAGTGGAGCTCCAAAATAAAACATAGCTAAAATAGACAGCTGAACACTAAAGTGTGTCGCCATCAACCTGTGACTCTCCGGGCTCCTGGCTCGTGACCTGAAAGGGGGAGGGACAATGAGCGTCAAAGCGCTAGCGAGCAACATTACAACCAACCCCAAGGGAAAGGGCTCGTTGTATACAGAAAATACAGTTATTACATAATAGTTAAAATCATTGATCCTAGCAAATAATGGGTTTTAATATTTAGGAAATTACAACACGAGCATAGGTACGTTGAGCGAAATAATCCAAACAAGGAAACCCTCATGTATATACCTTGTATCTCAAATTGTAAATCCCTAAATACCAAACCCGGAATCTAATACAGGAACAAATAAATTAAAAGAAGACAGCCCATCTCAGAACTTAAAATACTGCGTCACGTCATAACCTACATAAGTGTCATGTCATAAACTCATGTAGAAAGTCGTACTCGAGGTTAAGACAGGTGTACAACACATGAACTAAATATAGTGAATGTCCAACACATGGACTGCATAATATAATTTGCCCAACACATGGACTGAATGATAAATGTCCAACACATGGACTGTATAATATAATTGCCCAACACATGGACTAAAAATCAGTGTCCAACACATGGACTAAAAATCAGTGTCCAACACATGGACTAAATGATAAAAAAAATGAATTATCGATGAAACATATAAAAGATACACATGAACAATTTTCACACGTGTCTCGGTGTGCTAAATCTAAAATTTATGTCCGCAAGTCGTCTCACATGTAAAGATACATCATTAACAATGAAATTTTAATACTCGATAATCGAGGCTATTCTTCGACCACATCAATGTTCACAACAAAATAAACTTGCACAAACAGACACGACGGTCGACCGCAGAGTCCATACTGGTCGACCGCACAAAGAGCAGAAACAATCTGCTCTCCGGTGCGCCCAGCGGTCGACCGCAGCGACCACGGCGGTCGACCGCGAAACAGACAGTGAGTTATCTACGGGTCTCTGTATGTTTCACATACTAATGCAATGACTCAAAAATCTAAATCTTAAACATATACAAATGCTATATAAACATAATTTAAACAATGTTAAACATGCATAAACCATGGAAAGCAAAAACTATTATATAAGATCTATCATTTAA